GTCTCTCTTTCTCTCTCTGGATCCGCTTCTGACACGTATCTCGAACCTCGGGTAAACCTGTAGAAAAAAGAATTCTTAGACACTGTTAATCAACCTCTATAACACTATCCATATGGAAAAGTAATCAGATCTCTTCTCTCGGTTTCCCACTCTCCTTCAAGCACATGACATAGGTGCTCGAACTCAACTCAGCTCCGGACGGCTCTTGCACGCCCGCAGATGCACTGTCACAAATGACGATCCACACACGGACGCTGCGTGGTCTTGTCCTAACACGATGAGGACGTTCCGGAGTCGCCGTCTGGATCCTTCAGACACTGGAAACCCAGCTCATGGGCCAACTGCCATTGACCATCGTCTCCCAGGATCCGCAGCTGTCGCTTCGTGAGTCTGGAGTGGTGTAACAGGAAACCAAACATAATCCTCTCCTCTCTTGTCCTCTGCAGCGGTTGCCACACTTGCTCTGGGTCATTCGATACACCTCATCAAAAGCCTCTACGCTGTCAAAAGTCACTGGAACAGTTCCAGGGTTTCGTAGGTGGCGATGCGGCCACGGTCTCTGCTGCTGGGTCGGTGTCAGTCCCAGCGCGTGCTCCCTGGGGTTCCAGGAACCGTACGAGCTTCCTATCACTGCCAGTAGGATCTGCTCTGCACTGATCCTCGCCGGACGACCCTCATGCCAGACGTGGGGCTTGTGATCCACTTGACCCGCGACGAGTGCTGGGAGCGGAACAGGCCAGTGAGTATTATACATTAGCCAATCTATATCGGTGGCGTGTCCTCCACTCCACGAGGCTTGTTGAGTGAAGAAACTAGCCTCCTCCAGATCAAGCAGGTCGGATCCAAACTCCACGACCAGACGTCCTAACCATACAGCCAAGGTCTCATCAGGCTTGATCCTTGACTCTCTGCACAGTTCCTGTAGCTCAGTCCAGGTTCTAGTGTGATGGGTAGTGTGGATTGTCTCCCTCACTCGGCTGCTTGCTGCTGCAGAACACGTAGCTGCTGTTGAGACTACCGCTGCATCCGTGGAGAGGGGTGGATGTCCTCCGCTCACTGCCCCCTCCCCGTGGAAAGGAGGCGGGGCCACCGGAAGCGATGTCGCGTCGGTAGGCGGGGTCACCGGCCAGGTTCCTGCCGATTCTCCCGAAGCTCCTCCCTTCTCTTCCGGTTCCAGGCAGCTCGCTCCTTCCTCGGCGCCATCTTGGAGTGGCGTTGACTCGGGGCTTCTCTCCTCTGCCGCTTCTCATGCCGCCGGAACGGCCGTGAGCAGTGTGGCTTCCAGGTCTGCATTCTTCCGCAGCAAAGTTGTCACAGCTCGGAACAACACATCCAACATTCTCTCTTTTTTATCCCTTGGGGCTACACACGTATGGCCTCTCAACCCGAGCACCAACGGGGGGCTGAACTGGTTAGCCGTCGTCGGCTCTTCACCCTCCCGTGCGAGCTGCACACAGCGAGCGAACTCTTGGCTGAGAGCCGGGTTCATGTCGCCTGATTCCCATCTGGCGAGGGGTGCGGTGTTCCCTCTCTCCCGGGGCCTGAACTGGACTCTCTCGCTCCCCATCACACACCCGAACGCCTCGGGGTACAGATGTGCCTCCCATACTTCCGATGCCTCTTCTCCTTTTTCCTTCAGTGAAAGGTAGCCATTGATAAACCTTTCACCCACTCCGCCCGCCTGGTGATACGCGATGTGGGCGCCTAGTTCCTCGGAGCTGGCCATGTGGTGTCTCCCGCTACGCCAGGGGCAACTTCTCACTAGCTCCAGCTCCATTAGATCTTCCACAAATCCTGACTCTGATCCTATCGATCCTAATCCTGATCCCGCTGATCCTGTTCGTGACGCCATGTGGGGGCCGAGGGGGGACCGAGGATCGGGAATCCTCGGGAACGCTAGCTGGGGTTGCGGCTACGATTCCGTGACAGGCAGATGGGTACTCTCTATCACCGGAGCGGAATTAGGCACAGACGAGACACATATCAATTGGAAAAACAGAGATGGCTTTACTTACACTGTAGAGTAGTATACAGCGCAGGCAATTGTAGTTGCAACAATTCTATTCTCTAATCGGTAATCGAGGAGCTCTTGTAGACCGGGCAGCTCAGGTCTAACTCGGGCATGCAACACGGAGGATACGTCGTAAGGCTTCGTCGACGGGGAGTCATTGGCAGGGGATCAAGCTGCCAGAGTTCCACTCCAGGGGAAATCGCGGACTTCTCCAAGTAGGGCGGAAACGCCCCTAACCTTTTATACGGCTAGCAAGCCAATTGCCAGCCGCCACATGGGAATAATTTAACATTGGCCAATCATGTTATGCAAATCTGCATTTCCTCGGCAGGAACTCTATCCCCCCCCCAACTCTTCACCATGCCGAGAATTCCCCTGCCTTACCGTGCCTTGTGCTGGAAAGTTCCACGGTGTCGAGTCACTGATCCAAATCAGCTCTGACAACAGTTATGTGTCTGCTCTATCTAGCAGCAGGTAGATGAACTACAGTAATTGATCATCTTGTTCATTCAAAGAAATTGCCTTGATTTAGCTTCTACTAACTGCATGATATCACATCTAGTAGGCAGCCATCAATCCTTCTGGATCACGGTATATGCATGAGAGGTCACTAGGACCTTTGACATGTATACCTAGGTAGAAGCATGGAGTGGAGGCCACTCAGACCTTCTATCTCCCCTTCAGACCACTGAGACAGAACATAACGGCCAGATGGAGTCCAGACATTTGGTGCCTCAATGGCTGTAGTTACAAGCACATCCAGGAATCAAGCCTTGGTCTCCCATTTGGCAGACAAGGATTCAAACACTGAGCTACAACAATGGGTTGCAGAATAGAACAGATACACAAACAGTTAGAGTGGATCAGCTTATACATGCTCACAAATGATGACATCCTCACCCTTTTCATTTCCACATTTTATTTCCATAAGGTAACACCAGAACTATATCACAACAGTGCCATTCAACTCAGTTGATGTAAAAAAAAACAAACACCCCCCACCCCCAAACAAACTTTTCTGATTCAACTGCATTAGAAGGAATCTCTCCATCACATTTCCCAGAGTATGCTGGAGGGAATACATATAAATTGAGGGAAAAGATTTAATAAAAATGACAACTACAGCTAGGAAATACACGAACTGGCCAAAGTGATAGCTAAGTAATAAAGAGATAGGTGTCAAGAAAGATGTAAGCAGAAATAGAAAGTAATCAGCAGAAGAGCATTTGCTCACTTCAGAAGGAAATTGCAGACTCCAACTCCCAAAATGAGTCAGTAAATCCAAGCAGTATCCTTTCCTCTTCTGGTAACTTGAAAAAACAAAACAAAACAAAACTTGAAGTTTCTAGTAACTTGGAAAAAAAACAGCTATGATCATGGAAAACCCAAGTCACTTGGTAAATCTTTTCCTACTTGTTATAAAATACATCCCATCTAAGTATAATATGCATTTTTTTAAAAACTTGACAACTTGATAGTTTTTTTCTTTAAAAAAAATGGTACTGTAATGGTGAGTGAATGGGAGAGAATGACACAATTTCTGGATTTTGCTATAACAAAAGAAGGAGTTGGGGAAATAGATTACAGTTAAAAAAATCTAGAAGACAAGACAGCTATCAACCAGTACGGAAACAATTTTTTAAGAAACTGAACGAGAAAATTAAGGAAAATCATTACTCATCTAAATAACTGAACCCAGGACTGTACTCTTTATATTTCCTTTACAGCGAAATTAACAAAACTCCCTATACGGAGAAGAACAGAATACCACTTGTAGCTTTAAATACTACTGCCGTGCGGACAGAAGTACTGCAAAATGAACCACAGAACTGGGCACATGCTGCATTTTCCCCTGTCCTGCAATAGTAACTAAGGTCCCTTTTTCCACCACATGTGGCAGCATGAGACATCTAGCGCAGACATCTTTCTTTCTGTCGTCTGCAGCATGACATTATACTGAAAGGACAACAGGAATACTGGGAGAGCACAAGAGAATGACAAAAACAGCACAACAGGTAATCTGGTTACTATTGACTGGACTGGTTTCAAGCCCTCTCTCCAAGCAAGGCTATACTTTCCTTCATCATTTTACTTATGCCATATTCATCTCCATCTATTACAGACTGTTCCTGAACAACTCAGAAACAGCATGGCCTAAGATAGCAGTGCTCAGCCTTTTATGGCCACGAGCCAGAAGAGTGATATGGAGCCGGTACACAGATTGGACTAGACTCCACACACCAGGATTGTGCCCCACACCGCCTCCCTTGGCCCCCATACCCTGAACAGGGACTCTGTACTGCCAGATCAGGGCCTGCACCATCTCCATCAGCCCCACACCACAGAATTGCACCCTGTATCCCTCCACCCTATGCTACCTCCTGAGACCCCACCCCCTGCTGTTTTACTGGGGATCACTGCCTCCCAGGGCACCACGTGGCTTTCCTGGTAGGCTGGGCTGGGCGGGACTCTCTGCTCCAGACAGGAGACCTGGCCCCACCCCTCTGCTCCCTGGCCAGAGCTCCAGCAGAGACTGCAGGCACAGCAGGGTCTGCCTGGCTTTCCCCTGCCCCTCTCCCCCGTCCCTGCTGCTCAAGAAGGGATCCCCCCCTCCATTCCTCCCATCTCCCACAGCATGGACCCCAGCCCCACAGACCCCAGGCATGTGGTATGCTAGCTAACGCTGAGAGGTGTCTGTATGTCTCCAATTTCACTGGGACAGGCAGACAAAACAGTGTCCACTAAGGGCTTTTTGGAGCTAATCAACAGGTCAGCTGGTAACATCCCTCCCTTGAGAGAGGTTATTGTTTTGCTGATGGGGTGTTAAACACTGTTATCATCCTCCCTGCTGGCTTGCTCACCTGTCAGTTTGCTGCAGACAGTATAAAGAAGCAGAAAGAAGGAGATTGAAAAGCTCCATATCACCAGTAGATGCATGCACTGCACACCCCCTCCCTTTGCCTCAGAGTGCTAGTCCAGGGCTACGGTCTGGCAACACTCCCCCACCTTGAGCAGTGAGCGGGGAAAAGCCTGGGACAGTGCAGGCAGGTGTCCCTAATCAAAGCATCCTGCCAGGGCCTTGCAACATCCCTTCTCAGCTCAGCACTGTGGATAGGAAGGTAGTGCCCCCTGGCTTCTAGCCTGAGCCACAGCAGGTATGTGCCTGAATTTCCTCAGTCCAGAAAGAATGTCTGTGCGGTTAAAAACCACTTCAGCCTAGCCAGGTTAGACTAACCTGCAAAGATTGAATCAATTCAGGCTCAGGCTATTTCAATGTCTGTCCTTAGCCCTGGGGACCCTGGCAGTCCAGATGGCATGCCTCTGTGGGTTGAATCTGGCCTACAGGTTGGGGTTGAGGAGCCCTAGCCTTGGAGACAGAATTCCAGACTGTGGTTGGAGCCTAGCATCCTAATCTCGATCTCAGTGCAGGCCTTGGGCAGAGCTTTTTTTTCCCCTCAATTTTAGCATGCAAGGTTCTCTTCATGTTTTTGGTTCATCTTATACTTTACATGTTAAGTTTTTCAGACAGACACTGTCTCTTATGTGTGTTATATCATGGCTCTCAAGCTCACCTGGGCCAGCCAAGCACTAATCCAAAAAACTCAAGAATATTAATTAAAATGACTTGTTCTTTGAAAGCTACACACTAAGCATACAATGTGAGCTGCTTGTTTCTTCTACAGAGCATTTCAAATCCTTACTCTAAAAGCATTCCACAAGTAAACCACTGTAGTCAGTAGTAATAATTTTCAACTAAACTGATCTCCACTTGTCAGCGTACAGCAATGCTGTACACTTTTGCGCAATAGTTTCCATAGCCATGCAGTATTCAGGCAACTGCACTTTCATCTACTTCCCCTACTCAAGAACTCCTCATACATACTGACAGGCACAGCTCCTTCCATATTGCAGCATTACACCCAGTTAAAAATAAATATTTATAGGCGATATACAAGTAGGGGGTAGGGTTGCCAACTCTCCAGGATTGCCCTGGAGTCTCCAGGAATTAGAGATAAATCTCCAAGAGAATGCTGAGAATCACCCAGGAGATAAATGATAGAACATTCAGTAAAATAAATATTAAATGTTGAATCTGATTTATACAGATGTGCAGTGGGTTTTTTAAATGAAATAGCAATGTGCATTTGCCGTCCTGATGTAAAGTCTTTAATGTCATTACATCATGTGATGAAACCTCATGGAATATATTCAAACAGAGTTGGCAACCCTAGTGGGGAGGGGGAAATGTGGGTCCATGACCATTATTGCTTTTTAGGATGGATGTATAACAGGAAGTTTGAAGAATTTTGTTGTTTTTAAAAACTAAGTGCTTTTTTCTTAATTTATTTTATTTTAACATGAATTTAGGTACAGTTTTCTTTGTGTTCTTTTGGAAGACATTAGTCATGACTATAGGATTGGCAGAAAGAACATCAGAAATCCAGTGTAAATAAAACCTGATTAGGAAGAGAAGCAGTTTTTTTTAAATGTTATTTGGGGTGTTTTTTTACATCTATTTAATTCAGGCACCTGAGCTAAAGTTTCAGCATACATGCTCCATTCATAAGGGGCAAATAAAAGTTCACAAAACATATCTGATACCTCATTGTTTAATTTTGTATTTTGTAACACCTAGAAGTCCCAATTACAATCACAGTTGTATTGTGCTAGTGCTACATAAACACATGTTTGACATGATATAGGCTCAAAGGACTTACAATCTAAGATGTATTGTTGGTGAGACAATGCAGGACACAATTATCCCGTGTATCCGTATCTTCGTCTCAATTTTCCAATACTGAATGACTGCTTTTTCAGAAGTTATGGTTGACGAGAACCTTGAAGGAGCAGTCCATGGAAGAAGTAACACAAATATGAAGCAACATAGGAGAAACAGAGAACCCTGTGAGAGACTTCAAAAAAGACTGCCGCAAAACCAGCTAATATCAGAAGTCCCATTGCTAATATTTCTGAAGAAATATAAGCAAGCAAAAAGGGCTTTAATTTTTTTTCCACTGGAAAGCAAAAGGAAACAAGACACACATGTTTTCAAGGCTTTTTCAGACATCATGAAGATGCCAAAAATGACATATGCCTAAATTTCTCTTCTTTAACTGAACTGTACCTTAAAAAAAGTTTACTTAGAAATTTCAACATAACCGAGTTTTGTTTTTATTAAGAACTGTATATTCTTCAAGTACTACAATCATTACACTCAAAAACTACCTACGGTAGAAAAGCATTATTTTCACTTTGATAGATGAGGAAAACTAAGAAAAAGGTTAAACACCTTGCCCAAAGTTATATAGACAATCAATTAACACAAATGCCATTACCATTTGACTCCCAGCCCTATACTCAACTCTATGATAAATGCAGACTAATGGAATAATCTCAAAATTTCACCTTTTCATTCCAAATCAGAATTAATTTTTCCCTGGAAACATTGGGATTTGCCATAAATAAGAAATTCATTTTTGAAGCAGCACTAAAAACACTTATTATGAGGCACTGTTTCATACTGCAACAATGGAAGGCAACTACCATTCACCTCTTTTACAGAACTTACAGACAGCTCACAAGTTCACTTGAGGCAAAGCTAGAATTGGAAACCATTTGCTAACTTCAAGCATTTTACTTAGTCTTATGACAGCTCATGTTTTCCTTCAGTCCCAGCCTCTAAAATCAAGCAATTACATTAGCATCACCATTTTATTACGAACAGTAAGTTTCTAGCCCTCATTCTTGCAGAGGAAAGCTTGATAGTGGGCACATCTACATGTGCTATTAGCATGTAGCAGTAAACTCTGGCAGATATCACACTGGAGTTTATTGCTCTCAGGTGTGCGGGCCGCCTCCCGATCCCGTCCATGTCGCCATGTGCGAGCCGGGAGTGATATGCGGACCTGTCTTTGTGCACGCGGGCTCAGAAGAGACCGCGCGGCGGCAAGGCACGCACGGGCTAGAATTACTCACAGACGCGTAGTGGTTGATTCAAAGATTATTTACTTACACCCAAGATGGTCACGGTGTAGGCTGGACAGTTTTCCAGGTTCAGCTCCGCTTAAATCCTCATTGGAGGACTACGACAAATTCGGTTCTTGGGCCCCGGAGTTGTTAAGGCTCTGCGGGTTCGGCAGTTTCTTTCCCAACGGAGTTGTTGAAGCTCCGTGGGTTTGGTTCTTGAGTATATAGGAAAGGGATACGTCTAGGATTGCGCTCGGCGACGGGGAGAGGCCAGAGGCTGTTTAGACCTCTGTTGCCTTCTTAAGAAATGCGTTGGGTTCGTAAGGATCCGCAGCGCTTAGAGATCTTCACGCTCTCCCTCTCGGACTCCAACTGCTTTCTCTCCAACTTGGGCAGAAACCACCCAAGCTCTTTATACGGCTAGCAAGCCAATTGCTAGCTGCCACGTGTGCATAATTTAACACAAGCCAAAAATGGGGCTCGAATTAAAATACAAATGGCAGGAACTCCTTTTTTTTTAGCTTGATTCGTAATTTTTGAATGTGCATGGCTGGTAGCACAACTTTTTGGATACAGATACATAAGAGTATAAAGCTCCACATCAACTAATTTACTCTGCTTCTCAGGTACCTCTCAAACTTCAGTCTTCTGTATAGATATGCCTTTAGTCATACGCCTTTTGCTTCTATGCTAATAGCACTGGCTCTTTTGCTCAAGTTCATGGTTTCACAACCAGAGGTTCCCAAAGACTATTCAACTAGAGCATTATTGCACTTGGCTAGGCGGACTATAATCTCCAGGCCACAATCCAATTCCAGAGCCAGGAACAAAACCAAAGAGATACCCAGTGTCTAACCACCGTCTGAAGAATGTGTGTGTATTACACTTGAAATGGACATGTTTTGTCTCTGGTCTGCACAGAGCATATCTGTATGCTTTCCCCTACTAGTTACTCTCATTAGTCAAGTAGAAGAGGTATGTTCTGTGGAGCTGAAGGTTGTAGGCTCAAACCCTGCTAATAAACAAAAAAGGATGTTTGACAAACACATGCATTAAGTGTAAGGAATATATATATAGCATTAAGGTTGGTTTTACTCCCGTCTTTTTAGAACATGGGAAACCGTTTGTGTGTCCAAAGAATAAAAGATTTTGTCAGGGTAGCTTCAAAGAGGGCAGACTTAATTTAATAATCACACCTTTCTGGACAGCAAGCCTCATTGTATATCAAGGGTATTAGTGCATTGCCAAGGAGGAAGCCTTATTCATAACTCAAAAGGGCAGGAAGAGATAAAAAAAACAAACACACAAACAAAAAATACAAGAGACAGATGAAAGGAAAGGTTTTAATTTTTTTAATCTTAGGATTTTAGGGAGGTCTGACTCATGACTTTTTATCTTCTGGGTTAGGAATGCTGCCTCCAGGACGAATGGACTTCTAAAGGGTTTAATAAAGGTTTAGCTTTCTCGTATGGTATTTAACATGGAGTACTCGCAATATTTACACATCCAGCAACACACACATGCTGACAAATCTTAGGTCTTAAAGGTAAAAAGATAACTCACAATTGTCTTGAAACCTTTTATTTTAAAAGCTTAAAACAGCTGCCTTATAAACAACTACAGTGTATAGGAAGAGAAAGAGATGCACCAGGTTAAGTGTTCCTTCCTTCTTTTACCATTTTTCTATGTCCATAGTCTAGCAACTCACTGTGCTAATGTGAAGCAGGACATCTCTGCACCTAGGCAAATTTTAAACTTTCTTTAAAATCAAAAGCAAGCAAAAAAACCCACACTTTACAATGAAAATGCAGGCATGCAGTAGAGAAATCAGCTGTGCTGTAACAAATGACAGTGCAGCCAACACTGCAGAGTATTCCTGAGCTAAGATTAAGTTAACCCAAAGCCTCCCTCTCTCCTTTTAAACCCACCTCAACAGTGTTGCACTGCACGGGTCCCAGCTTGGTATGCTTTAGAAGTATGTTATTTTAATTTAAGTGTGCTATTCAGCTGAATACAAATGTTTAATTATTGTAATTATATGCACATGTACTTCATCACTTTTTTGTCTAAAGAGGCTGATGGTGCATTTTATTTACTGTTTAATGTGCTTGTTTTTATGCTTACTGTAACAGCTTGTTGAAGGAGTACTGAAGCGAAACTCTAATAATAACAGTGAAGGTTGCATAAAAAGAGATCCTTAGTATACACTGTATATATTCAAAAAAGACTGCATGGAGTAACTATAAAAAAGGGCCAGGAGACGGGGGCAGGGGAAAGAGGGGGTCAACATACCAGTCTATTTACATGTTTACCTGTATTCCTTAAATTTTCCTGACTGTAGATTTCCCTTTGGAAACCATCTCAGATCAATTTTAAATGATCTTTCAATTTGCTTCCAAAAATATTTCAAAGGTTGCTACATTCACATTTCACACTGTAGAAAGCATGCAACACACCTTCAGTTTGGAAAAGCTATTGCTGATGCCATTTGCTGCAAACCAAACACCTTTGGCTTAGTTTTAAGAGCCAAGATGCTAGCTACTCTTCTGAGCAAGATACCATGTCTGTAACTAATAAGCTAAGGCAGAAGGCAGGGCAAAGGGACATCTTAGGACAGTGCTTCCCAAACTTTTCCTCAGCATAACCCCATTTATGGCCCCACTTCCTCAGCATGACCCCATTTCCTCAGCATGGCCCCTCACTCCCAACCCACAGCTCCCACCCCTGCAACCCCATCTGTTGATGTTGCAACCCCAGTCAGGGTTGCGACCCACCATTTGGGAACTTCTGCTTCAGGGTGTTTTTACACGTACTCTGGGAGTGCGGGGAGGGAGGGAGACTCGGAGCTGCTCTAATTAACGCACCTGAAGCATCTCATGTATCAGCAACCCCATGCTGAAAAATGGCAGCAGGGGCATATTAACTAAAGCTCATAGAACAAGCTTTAGTTAAGGCGCTCCCACCCCCATTTTTCAGCACTGGGACGCTAATACACGAGACGCAGGAGTCCACTGGAACACAGCAATTAATCAAGTCTGCTCCAGCACGCTGTAATTACAGCACGTCGGAGCAGCCTTGCTGCACGTGTATAGGAGCCTTAAGAGACTAACTCATTCAGCAATGCATAAGCTATCATAGGTGACTGCCTACTTCATCAGATGCCATAGCATGGGTTTGATCACAGCATGACAAAGTAGGCTGTTGCCTATGAAAGCTTACAACATTGCTTAGTGGGTCAGTCTCTAAGATGCCACGAGGCTCTGCTCTTTGCACACCTTCAGACTAACAAACTAACTCCCTCTCTCCCTAATAAGGAAATACAGACTAGATGAAAGTACTGTAAGGTGGATATGTAACTGGGTGGATCATTATGCTCAACAATGGCTCAGTGTCTAGTTGGAAGGAGGTATCAAGTGGAGCTCCCCAGGGATCTGCCCTAGATCCAATATTGTTTAATATATTCATTAATGATTTGGACACTGGAATTGAATGCACGCTTAAAAAATCTGAGGACAACACCAAGTTGGGTGGAGTTACAGACACTCTGGAGGGTAGAGCGACCTGGATCAACTAGAAAAAATTGTCTGCAATCATCCAGATGAAATTCAACAAGGACAAGTACAAGGTCCTGCCCTTGGGAACATAGGTGATGCATAGGCAGGGCACAGGAGGATACATGCCCCCCGAGAGTGCTGGTGCTCCCCCTTGACAGCAAGCACTCTGGCTGGTAGGGGGGCATGGAGAGTACTAGTGCTCCCCCTGAAATTGGCTCTGCCGGCAAGCCCCCCCACCCCGGTCGCCAGCTGGCCAGGGGGAAACCCTGTCATGCCCCGCTGATGCCCCCCCCAGGCTCGGGAGGCACCAGTCGCCCATGCTTGGGAAGTAATAACTGTATATGCAAATAATGACTGGGGAGTGCCTGGCTGGGCTGCAGCACTGCAGAAAAGGACATGAGGGGACAAAGCAGAATACAAGCCAGCTGTGTGCACTTGTCGCCAAAAAAGCCAATAGCAAACTGGGTTGTATCAACAGGAATGTCACTTACAAATCAAGAAAAGTAACCCTCCCACTTTATTTGGCACTTTTGAGGCCTTACCTGAAGTACAGTATCTGGCTTTTGCCCTACAACTTCAAGAAAAATGTGGACAAATCAGAAAGTTCAGTGGAAAGTGATAGAAATGAAGATAGGCCTAGGAAGCATGACTTACAAGGAAAGGCTGAAAAATCTAGGGTTATTTAGTCTGGAGAAGAGAAAACTGAGGAGATATATGATAACAGCCTTCAAATACCTGAAGGGCTTATAGAGAGGATAGATACAGACTATTCTCTGTGATCATAAAAAAACAATATTAGAAGCAAATCTGAAACTGCAGCAAGGGAAGTTCAGGTTGGAAATTAGGAAGAAATTATGCTCATAGTCTCAAATTAAGTATTGCAGGTTGTGTAATCTCCATCCTTGGACACTTTCAAGAGCAGGTTAGACAGGCACTTGACAAAAATACTTTAGTCAGGATGATTTTGCCTTAAGCAGGGATGGTTTGAACCAGATGACTTTCTGAGGTCCTGTGCAGACCTATGGGCATTTGTACACATGATTGGGGGGGGGGGGGGGGGGGGGGGGGGTCTGTTAGA